CTTTAATTGAATGCCATAATCATGTAAAGAAAATTGCATTCTCTATTAGGTCTAGGTGCGATTTGATTTGAGTCGATTTCAACTCCAATCCAAAATCAAAATCAAATTAGTTGATTTGGGTGAATTTCTACCCGAACCAATCCACTTTAAATACTTTCAGTTCGGTTAATTTATTTGGACTTTTAATTTGAATTGAACTTTTTTAAACAAAAATTGTCTAAGTTTTGAGCCAACTTAAATATTAAAAAAAATAACTAAATAATCTTACATTATAAGAATTATTGACTAACAAATAAAATTAGGTTAATAGAAACGGATCAATAGAAAAATTAAGAATTTTGTTTATGCATTATTTAACCTGACTGCTTCAGCAGGGAAAATACTAGATATAATATAATGAGCTTATGAGATTATCGCTTATCTTTTGATTTTTATTTTTCTTTAAAAAATGATAAACATATAGGTGAATTGGGTTAGTTCAGTTAACCAACTCTTTGAGACTTCAAACCATGACCGAACCGACCCATTATTGTTTTGTTTAAAAGAAAACCAATTACCCGTGTCAAACCAATCAGAGTCCGTTTGGTTTCATCGATTTTTTTTTCTGTGCCCAGGCCTAATCTCTAATCAATTCACTCAATTATAAATGTATCTCCATTCCATTTCGCCATTACCGAAAATAAAGTTTAATTTTCCAATAACTTGATTATGAGATTTAGTGATGAATTGAAGATCCTACAATTTTATCGATTTTATTATTTTATATTTTAATAGAGAAATGAAAATTGTCATTTAGTCCGGAGGATTTTGATTCAATTTTTAAGTTCATGCTTCCAAACTAGAATTTATTATTATTATCATTATTATTTGATTTTCTGCTCGATTGGATTTGAAGTTAAATTATTGTGTAGTTTGTTACAAAACAATCTAAATCGTGCCAGTTCAAATTTATCTATTTGTCAACAAATTTATTGTATTAAATAAATATTTTTAATTTCTACAAGTAATTATTGATCATGGAATATAGCTCCTAATTTAAACAGAAGTCAACAGAATTTAACTAACTTTTAGACAACTAGCAATATCTAACATAAAAATTATAGAAAAAGAATTCAAAACCAAGAATTTTAATAATGTTTTACTTGAATATTTGAGATTAGAGCCAAAACACATGCATATTTCGTGCACATATATGTATGCATGTACATAATTATTATACATTCTCGAATGCATTTTTGTAGCACTTTTATCAAGAATTCGAGTATTTTGAACACGAGTCTGATTAAATGTTTTATCTTATATAAGTTGGCAGAATAGTATACGAACATTCATAGGAGAAAAATAAGATTACTTGTAGGGAAACACTCATTGAAACAGTAAAATCCTTTGGAGGTTATCATTTTTTCGTTCCCCGCATTTTAGACAAAGATTTCCTTGTTGAGTATGACAATGCACATGTTTTTCCCTTTAGAGATTGGTTTGACTCCTTTGGTTACACAGCTTTGTAACTCGTTTGCTTAAATTTTGTCCCCCTTTAATGTTTTCAAGAATCCATTATTACGTTATGTTTAACCATTATTCATAAAATGAAGAGTATGTGTAGATAAGACATCTCCCTATCATTTGCTTGGATCTAATTCATCGAGATTAATTAGTAGTGATTATATTATGTGCATGTGTCCTTGTTATCAAACTTATATGAACGTTCATTCTTGATTTGGCTTATATAATCAAAACAAGGTGTTGCAGGAAGAGATGCTTGCCGATTGGAGGTCACTGGTGAAATAGCAGAGGTGAGGAAGGTGGGGGCTGGTGAAAAGAGTCGAGGGGGAATATTGGAGGCCACGAGAAGCTTTGCAACTCAAGCTGAATATTGATGCCGGTGTGAGCAGGTGCAAACCTGTTAAGGGCAGAGCGGGTGCAATCGCCTCTATTGAATTTCCAAAAACTTTCAATTTGACTTCTTCTTTTTTTTTTTAATTTAAATTTTCAGATTTTTTTCTTTCACAATTTATTTTAGCCAATTTTTTGTCTCGCCTCGGCTGAATTATAATCATGGGTCCCCCCCCCTGAGTGTGAGGTGGGATGGCCAGGTGGAATTTGGAGCGATTACAAAGGATCATGAGGAAAGAGTGGTGGCTGGTTCTTTCTTTGTGGTTGATGCTAAGTGTCTAGCCCTCCACAAGGGTCTGCTATTTACTCAATAGAATAGTCTTCTGCTATTTGCCACGTTTTATTGATCTTGCTTTACTAAATGATATTAATATGTGATATTGTGATTTTTTTTTAAAAAAAATTTAATTAATGAAACCCTAGATGATGCTCTATATTATTAATCCTTTTTGTTGTTTCGTACTAATTATAATCAATTTATCTTATGGATCAAAAAGTATGCCAAATTAATTAATCTTAATCATATCATATAATTTTATATTATAAATGCATCATACATAATCATATTTTGGTCTAAAGATGTCCATTGGAATTCATAGCATGCCTAATTGACTAATATTAATCATAGCAAATAATTTTGCATTATCATTATGTAAATGAATCAAAATTAATATTATGTCTAAAGATGTCCACTAGAATATATTGTATTACTATTATACTAAACTTAATGATAGCAAATAATTTAGTATTATCATTATGTAAATGAAAAATAAACAAAGTTTCAGTATCTAAAGTGCCCATTAGAATTAATGGCAGTTGTTTGTCCCAACTCCTAAGCCGATAGCAATTTTGAAATATATTTCAACTATGATGATGCGAGCATAGCAATATAATCACTTGAATGAAAACACTTGAAAATACTATGCATATTTGATTTTGCTTAAGATTCAATTATTATCCTTTTAAGTTCATAAATGGAATTAAGAGTGGAAGAAATGTCAATGGACATGAAATCAAATGACATACGGGTTGTTGTGGTATTCCTTTCTTCGGCAAGCTAATCCTATGAAGATATTGCACGGGACTCAAAATTTTTAAATCCGTATTCTTTCAATCATACGGACTTCATTCAACGATGTGTGTACACTCATTACGGAAGTCACTGGTCTTAAAAAGTGGGGACCATCCTCAACAACTATCGAAGAAAATACATATTGATCTACTTTGATCTTGACAAAAGAGACACCCGTACATAAAAAACTCTCTATAATATTGATTTATTGTTTTTACTTTCACAATTTTCTATGAAATTATTATTTTTTGTTTATTTATCATGAAATGAACTATTTTTTATAACTATCATATAATTAAAATTATTAGACAATTTGTACACTAGAATGTAAATCCTGATGTACATGTAGAATAATCCAAAATAATTAATTTGTAAAAGATTCCATTATTCATTATGTTTCCTCTTTCAAATTCAAACATAGGTTACATTTATCATTATAAAATTTGGTAAATTTCGAGAAAGAATTAAACCCCATTAATTTCTAATTTAACTCGATTTGTTTCATTCACTACATAATATTTTGAAACTTTTTTAAAAATAAATGTAGAGAAAAATTAATTGTCTTACCAAATCTTCGTAAATTTAAAGAAATTTGGTTCGATTAACAAAAATGTATGCATTTAAAACATTTTGAAAATGATGGTGGAGATAAAATTAATCTCTAATCACTAAGAACATATTTGACTAAGTTTAAATGTTTATACAAAAGTAAATAAGTGAATTTAAAATAAATAAATTCTCATTAATCAAACTTAGTGATAATAAATTACTTATTTTTGAGTATATAGCAATATTTACTTTAAAATAAGTGACTTTTCTCTAAATTAAAAATTCTACTCTAAAGGATTACAATTTACAAATAAAAATATACTTAAAATTTAACTTTCTACTTACTTCTCTTCTTAATCAAATTGAAACATACTCCAAATCCTTTTATTTTGCAAAAAGAAATCATTTGGCCCTTATTAAAATTATAATTCATTTTTTTTTTCTTTTTATCAATTATATATTTTTTGATAAAATAATATTATACGTAAATTCAAAAAATTTTCTTCTTTTTTAATCACACGTTGCTCAAAATGATACTATACCAAAAATTACAATCATAAATAATGGGGGCAAAATGAGGGCCCAAAAATTAATATTTATTTACTTATTTAATATTTTCAACTACTTTGACCTTTAAAATGGATAGAGAATGTCAGCAATCATTGATGCACAACACCACTTTAAATGACATTAAAAGTTAAATCAATTAAATAAATTATAATTTTATATTTTTATCTTTAATTAAACTTGTCACATAGTGCAATTTAAAATAATACTTGTTTGATAGTGATTAAAATTCAGATTTTAATTTAAATTAAAATTAATAATTAATTTTGATCACATTCACATAGTTTGCGATTTTTTAGTCATACTTTTATCAACTTTTACTAAAATTTATTAAGCTTTGGACCTAATTTTTTTTATAAAATTCATTTTTCTACTCTTATTTTCAATCACACATTATTCAATAAAATAATATTACACGCAAATTTAAAACTTTATCTTATTTTTTAATTATAAATTCTCCATCAAATCACAATTAAAAAATATATTTTTGAAAAAATAAATAAAAAAACTCAAACATGCTCTAAATATCAAATTTTTATTTTGCACTAAAAAATTACTTTGAATTATTAAAGAAATAAAAAATTACCAAGCCCTAGGTAATTTGTTCGCATCGTTTGGTGTCAATTAAAATTTTAATTTTAATTTAAGTCAAAGTCATCAATTCATTTTCACCATATATTCTATGAATTTCATAATTTTTTAATTATATATTTTATTAACTTTTATCAAAATCTACTAAAAATCTGATTTTAATTCCGAGGCTAAGCAAACACGATACTTAAGTAGTTACCAGCATTGAACCAGGGCGTAAGGACAAAGATATTTCTTGTAACAAACGTGTAAATAAACCCACCAATCAGGGCTAATCTCGTCTTTACACACCTCCAAGAATGTCCACTTTGCAACTTCCGCCACCACCCTTCTAAAACCCCCACCAAACGCCCCACTATTCTCTCTCTATAAATTTGTTCATTGTGTTTCAGAGAAGCAAAAAATGGTTGATGAATTCATGGTTTGTGTTGATAGAATAATCGCTTTTGCTGCATGCTTCGAGGATTCATCATCATCATCAGAGAGTGACAGAGAAACTAGCATTAATTTTAATGCTGCTGAAAAAGTTAATGCACTTACTGGAATGGTTTCTTTGAAAAAAAATAATAGCTTTAATGGAAATGGTATTGATGAAGGAAGTTCAACAAAGGAAAGCGTGACAGAATGTAGGATTTGTCAAGAGGAAGACGAGGAGAAAGATATGGAGGCTCCTTGTGCTTGCAATGGCACTCTCAAGGTATTTTTTTTTTTTCTGGGGTTTTCTTATATTACTTTACTTTTGAATTATTTTTTGTGGGCTTAATTTTGTTTCTATTTATTTCAGTTCTCTCGTAATGCTTGCAAGGGAACTCCCAAGGTCCAATTTTTATGGGATTTTCTTGTGTTTCTTTACCTTTTGCTGTCCTTTTTCGATTTTTTTTTTTTAATACTAGCAAGGGAATTCGCAAGTTTCAATTTTTAAGGGATTTTCTTGTGTTTCTTTGCCTTTTATATTCCTTTTTTGAATTGTTTTTCGTGGGCTTAACCGTTTTTAAGTTCTCTTGTAATGCTTGCAAGGGTACTCTTGTATTTTAATTTTTTCACCTTTTACTGTCCTTTACTGATTATTTTTGATTATTTTTGTGGTTTTAATTTTTTTAGTTCCTTGTAATTTTAGGTGCCTGCCATTGTTGAATTTGATTGGATTATTATTATTATTGTTATTGAACATTTTATACAATTCATTTTCTTTGGTTGGGGTTTTTTCTTGGATTTTCTTCTATTATTTTACCTTTTGCAGTCCTTTTAGATTATCTTTTATGGGTTTTTCTTTTTAAAATTTGGGTTGAAATGTTTAGACAATCCAAGTGGGTTTTGTTGAAAAAAAAAAAAAAGTTCCATTCATTGATTTTTCCATTCTGTTTATAGGATTAATGTCTCTTTTTTCAGAGTTTGTTTTTCTTTAGCGTCCATTGGTTCAGTGTTAGCCGTGTTTGCTTGAAATCTGAATATTCGCCTACTTTTTCACAATCCTTTTGTTTTTTTACTTTTGGCGAGGGACTATTAAAGAATGGATTCACGGATTTCTCAATGCTACGCTTTGAAAGTTGGTTGCAACTTTATTAATTAATATAGAATCTAATATTATTTATTTGTATGTTTTAAATTGTTGGTGAATGTTTGTTTGGTGTATGATAATCATCCTTTTAATTGTAGTTAATATGACTGGAAATTCGTATTTTGTTTCTCGATTTCAGTTGTTCATTTGAAAAAATGGAAGTAATTCTGAATATCATATAATTTAAGAAAATATATCATTTTCTTTTGTTTCTGCGAGCTATTGCAATATTGATTTTGCGTTTCTTTTTGTTTGAAATGTAGTTTGCCCATCGAAAGTGCATTCAGAGATGGTGCAACAAAAAGGGTGGTATAACCTGTGAAATATGCAATCAGGTTGGGATTTTACTCTTGTTTTTCGGGCAGAATTTTGTGACCTTCTCATAACAGAGGAAATATGAAACCAATGCCTTCTTTAACAGGTTTTCTCACCCAATTATACGGTTCCAACTCCAAGAAGTAATGCTGATGTTATGACTATTGATATCAGGTATATTCTGGAACGCATCTTATGGAAATTTTTGCTCTTGAATGTCTAGTATTCAGCATGGCATTTGCGAGAGAGAGAGAGAGATCCACAAATCGGAATGCTTTTAAGGAAATTATGGTACTTTAGAGAGCACTTCAAATTTTATGCATTGTCAAAGTGTTGTTTAGTTTATTTGGTTTGCAGTCATTGAAATGAATTTCTAATTCAAATTTTTTAAATCAATTCTAGACGGCATCTCGTGTGTTGTTTCTTGATTTTATTGGTAGGTTTGGTGGGGAGAATTTGATAGTACTGATAAACAAGAAGCAGCTAAAACCGTGTTCACCATATTGTCTAGACCTATCTACTAGTGCATGCAAAACAGGCGCCATAGATTTTTTGCTTTTTTGGGTGAGTTTACGAAATACATAACATCTCTTTCCTTACCTCAGGCAAGCATGGGCTCAACATATTGGTCTTCGGGATCCTCATTTCTTGCCTTTCACGACAGCTGATAGTCAGTTTCTGCAATCAGACTATGATGACTGTACCTTTGCAAGTGGAACTCTTGCATGTTTTCGCTCTGTGGTTATCGTTGTGAGCGGACATGAGTGAATTTTGATGTATATTTTTTTAATTTTTCAAGCAAATATGTGAAATGTGGGTTTTCCTTATTTTCAGCTGATGCTACTCTTGCTGATACACCAAACTTTAATGGTCACAAGAGACTTTGGGATGGTGCAGGCATCATCAGATTTCTTCCATGTACGTTCAATTTTATATTTCTTTTGAGTTTTTGAGATATGAACATGTTAGCGAATTAGTTTACAATCACGTTACTGGAATTTGAATTCCTATTGGACTCGGATATCATTTCAACAATAGATTTTCGTGTTCTATTTTTGGTTTTGTCAAAGAAGTATTCGCATTCTACTTTTTTCCTTCCTATGTGGCAATTTCAATTTTTATTTTATTTTTTATTTCTTTAGTTTTTTTATTTTATTATTATTTTTTTAAATTTTTGCGAATATTTCAGTATCAGGTATCTGTTCTTCAATTGGCCGGGATTCTTATCCCTTGCTATGTGGTGGTCCGTTCGTGGTACATTATACAATTCCGGCGGAGAAGACAGGTTTGTTAATTTATGTCCTTCACCTTCTCTGCTTGCTCTCTGCTTTGTGTTTTTGTAAGATATAAATTCTGGTTCCAGTAATAAACAGTAAAGCAGACTAATCCTGAAATTAAAACCATCAGAAAGACGGATATAATGATTCAATCAAAAGCATTCCAATCGACAAATGTTGTAATCGCCATTTTTATGTAGTTTTCGACTTAAAGAATCTTCATATATGGCCGTGAATTATTAACACTGCATTGAATAGTGTGTCTACTGTCACGCAATCGACTTACACATGATTGCCTATGTAATGAACTCCTGTGCATTGGCGAATGGAAGTTCGGTGGATTGGTTGTCCTGGCTTGAAAATTTGTTTTGAGAAACAGCAATTTTTCGATACAGGACAATCTTAAATGGTTCACTCTCTCTCTCTCACAAACACGCATGGAGTCGTAGAGATATAGGGAGGTGGGTGTAGTAGGTTTTCCTAATTAATGCTTGGTTTAACTTGAGTACATTGATTTTGGCCGGTGAATTAACACCTGATACACGAAAACACTGATGGTAAAAAGCAAGAACCTGTGTTTTAGTTCAGAGTAGACCATCTCTATGTAATTCTCATGTTGCTTTGTTAGGGATGGCAAAAAAAAATTAAAAAATTGCCCGTCCCAATACTCGTGGTGCCCTGCTCCTAATGGAACGTTGACAAGAAACATGGTCCCTGAAGTTACCCTGCCTCCCGGTAATTTGAGATTGGGGCAGGGACTGAGAAATTTCCAGAGGATTGGGGCCTGCCCTATGCATTTGTTAGCTTCTACTATTTATTTTCATAGTTTGGCGTCGAATGAATTTGCCTATATCCATGCAGTTTGTTCACTTTCGGTTTGTAATCTGCCGTTCTGTTTATCATCAGGGATCAGGATGAATGAAGGAATTGATGCTAAGTGATCTTTGGTTTAGGGAACAGTTTCATTTTATTATGCTCCTGATTAACGTGCTCGTGTTATTACGTCGCCTCTTGTCTTTCCTCCACAGTCGTGTTCATATCCGAAAGGTGCAACAGCCAAGGAGCGAACTTGCTGCCATAAATTTACATTTTATTCAACCTGTGGACTCAGAAGCAAATGTAAATGTGAATGTTGAGTTCATTAGGTGTTTTTGGGATCCTATCGAGTTTCAGGCATATTTATGAAAGTTCACAGATGGTTAATTGCTTTATATTTGCTGATTTCTTGTTACCTTTTGCACTTGAAAGTTCGCAAAAACTCTCAGCGCTCCATTTAGGGGTCAAAATCACTATCGGAAGCCCTGTCCTTGTATACATTGTTCAATTGAAAGGTACCTTCAGTCGGGTCAACGACTCGTAATTGGCACCCCGTCCAAAGCCCCTTACTCGTAAACATTATTCAATCTATTAAAAAATCTAATTTTAATCCGTACAAAACACCCTCTAAATTTCATTCTTTTTATCTAATTTTATTACTTATACATTCATCTTATGTAATATTACACCAGGTGCACAATTAGAACATGAAAAATGATTTAATGAGCATGAGTGTTGTTTGGTATGTCAAGTCACGGGTGCTTAACATAAACTAGATATCGGTATTCATTAGATCATTTCTGATTAGAACATATCCCTAATCCACATTAATATAATCTACATATTTTATTGTCGTGCATTGGTAGATCATATTACAATGTGATAATTTTATTCTATACCCTACTTGATGATGAAATAGTCAAATTGTATTTATTCGATGAGTTATCCTCTCTTGGAGAGAAACTTCAGTTAGGTGATTGCACCACGTGGCGATGCGACCACCCTATCAAGGTGCGCCACCTCGATGGGTGGCCCACCACACACCCTCGAAGTGTGTGGGCCACCCATCGAGGTGGCACATAGGCATTGGGCAGTGTGTGATGGGCCACCCATCGAGGTGGCACATAGGCATTGGACAGGAGCATCATCACTGAAGATTTAGTCCCTCTCTTGGGCACGCCACATTGAATTAACCCATTCATTTCCCTCTCTTAGGTCATTTCCAACCCTGCACGAAATTTTGCACCAAACTAAAATTTATCTCCAACCATTACACCAAAAATTACACCAAATGAACAGTATTTAATCATTTTCTTCCCTTTTTTATTCTTTATAATCTACTTATTTGAAATATTATTTATTTAATTATTTCATAAATACATAAATTACTAAATAAATAATTGCGTTAAATTACGAAAAAGATTAAATTCATTAATAAATTAAAAAAAAACATAGAACAATTAATAAAAATACAATTAGTAAACATAGAACGTAAATTGTTATTTAATATATTTCGTGTTAACTTTAATAAATAATCGTGTTTGATGTATTTTAAATTGTTTTCGTCTTTTAATTAATTAATTAATTATTATGTCTTACATTTAAAATTTATTTTAAACACAAATAATGTTAATATTAATAAAAAATAATAATAATTTATTGTATTAAAAAATATATAGCGCAAATTACATAAATACCCTCAACAAATTTATTTCGAAAATGTTAAATAAGGGCAAAATGGGCATTTTACACTTTGCACCATTTTGCACCAAAATGGTGCAAACTTTGGTGTTGGGTTGGAGTAATTTTGCACCAAAAAATGGTGCAATGGTGTTGTGGTTGGAGATGCCCTTAGTAACACCTATTCATAATGACAATACTTAGCTCATGTTTAATGAGTTTTTGAGAAAAATGCATGTTAAAATAGTAAATTTTTTTGAAGAATATGAGATTAAGAAAGAAAGAAAAGTTTTGAGTTTATATGTAATATGATTTTATTGAAAAATATGTAATTAAAAATAAGAAAAAGAAAAATATTTTATAATTTTACTACTTGTTTGTAGAGATTTTAATCCAAATAAAATCAATTTTTGAATCGTTATTTCATTATTTCAAACGTCATTTTTGAATTATTCTCTCAGAGATAGAATCCACTTTATTTCTAACGATAAAAAAAATAATTTGTACTAATCAAGCACATAATAGAGCCCAAAGAGGGGCTCACATTGTTTTCACAACAATAGGATTTAACGATTGGTACTTTCCAATCCCATCGGCCCCAGTCAAAACTAGGAATCTATCCTGTCCTTGACTTTTATCTACATGGAAAAGGTCGATGCTTTATTAACTGTACAAATGTTCTTGTCTTGATAATACTAAAAATTCCTCGTCTTTATTCTCCGAATTAGTTGTATGAAAATTACACCAGAGTAGCTATTTAAAGATCAAACTTCAAAAATAAGATATGAAGTATATTTAATCAAAAATCAAATGTCAATTTAATATTTTAAAATTATATTATAAATTAATATATATAACTATGTCCCCAGGGGCGAATTCAGCACCTGACGAGTCCCAGCAGCCGCCCGTACTGAATCCGTCGGAAGCTCTTTTTTTTTGTTGATGATAGGTGAAAGATTTATATTATATATCTAATAATTCACCTTCTTTCCAAAATCTCCTATAGCGTTGCTAGTTGAGGCTTTCACTATAAAATATGATGTCCTGGGTTCGATTTTTCTTCAAAGCATTTTATAGTGCTATTTTCTTGATTCAACAATTTTTTCCTAAAGCTAATGCAAGAGAACGGATTCGAACCCTTAACCCCACTTTAAGATGGTTGAGGCCTTGACCATCATTGCACTCATTGACTTGTGACACTAAATGTAACAAAATTATATATGTTCAAGTTTAGACTTTAGAGATTTAGATGCAATTAAAAGGATTCGGTCATTTGAATTATACAACTCTTGGCCAATACGTCACTTATTGGGTTGAAACCATAATTGTCACAGAAATAATATATATTCATTTTTAGCACAAATAATTGTTATATTAAATTTGAAATATTTTATTGTGACCAACGATAACCAATCGCCCGCCCGTGCTAACTCCAAGTCCTAGATTCGCTCCTGTATGTCCCCCAATCCAATTAAACTTCCAAACCTTAATTTATTTAGGGGATGTTTGATATGCATTTTTATGTAAAAATACATTTTAGAATAGTAAATTGATGTAAAATATATGGTTGAGAAATAAGAAAAAGTTTTTGATTTGCGTGTAATATTATTTTAATAAAAAATTTGTGGTTGAAAAGAAGAAAGAGAAAAATACATTTTTAAGAAAATGGCTACCAAACGAGGCCTTATATTCCTACTCTCTCTCTCTCTCCCCCTCTCACTTTATCCCCCTCTCTCTACCCACCGACTATGATCAACGCGAACTGTCGCTGACACCATACCTAATCTCTTCTCCGATCAGTAACATAGTAGCTCCAGCCAGTGACACGGTAACAATGCACCACAATCTCTTCTTTGGCCCTTGCATGACGTAGCACCACTGCGCGATGCAGCACCACTCCGCACAATGCTTCTACAACAATGTGGTGGGCTGTGTAGTTCACCAATTGATCATCGGAGGAGCTGTATAACTTCTGTGCACAATCACAGGAACTTGGGGCATCACCTAGTAATAGATTACGTAAGTCTAACGAGGGGAGGGAGAGTAAGAATATAAATAAAACTGGTAGAGACTGTAGTAAACAAAGGCAGCGTCGCACTGTATATGAATGCTTTGTCTAATAGAAATGCCGACATTATGAGGCCATTACTCAAGTCTCGACTTGGGAAAAGATCAATGGCGATGATGAGATAAGGTTATGTCTTCGCTCATCGGCACTACAGTAGTGGTGATGCCATAGCAGTATTTCGAATCTAGTTTTTGCGGTGTAGCAACGATATTGTTTGAATCTAGAGGTGCCAGATGGGTTGGTCGATTTGTAACCAAGTAATGATGTATGAGGGATGTTGGTGACCAATTATTTGGTTAATTTGTGACTTAAAAATTTGATAATTTGTGATTGAAAAATAATATATGATCAACTAATTTTATAATTCATGATTAACTAATAAATTGTAACTTATAGATTTTTTGATTTGTGGTCAATGAAATAAATTGTGACCTTAATATTTTTGATAATATGTTAACAATAAATAAGTTGTGACTTATGAATACGTACATGTAGTTATTAATTGTATAATTATGACCTTAATATATTTAGGGCATGTTTGAGCCACATTTTTTCAAAAAAAAAAAAACATTCTTAAACAGTGATTTGACATCTCTTTAACCACACATTCTTCAATAAAATAATATTACACGCAAATCCAAAACTTTTCTTTATTTTTTAACCACACATTTTGCATCAATACACTATTCAAAAATGCATTCTTAGGAATATAATGTGGCTCAAACAAGGGCTAAAAATAAAATCTAAAATCTTCAGTAAGTAGTAATCCACTCTTAAATCATTGTTTTGTTTTCCTCCACTAACTGAAACTAGACATTTTTCTCTTTCATTGCATTGTTGCATGAAGAATACAACTTCAGGGGTAAATGTTTGAAAAGCCTGTTGAACACTAAACTGAGTTGAGGAGGAAGACGAGCAATATTCACATAAGACTATTGGCATAGTAACTTTACAGAGACTTCTCATCAATCAGTTATATCAACTGATGTGAATAGAACCCATGGTTCTATTTTCTTTGATAATGCCTAATGTACCTTCGAAAATTACTTACATTGTACCTGGGGATTTAACTCTTTTTCACTTGAATTCTCTACTTCTGCACTGGGACTTTATTCTATTCTAGGCTAGAGCCAAAAGTATAATAAGGGCAGTGAAGCCGGGACCATACCCAGTCGGACAAAGCTAGTAATCTTACTTAGTCTATCTACCATCCCTATATATGTCTTTCTTTCCTTTGTTTGGCTTGAGCTTGATTTCACTCTCGTAGCAAAGAAAGAAGCAATGCTTATCATATGTCATTCTAAAGATAAGGAAGGGAATAAAGGTGGGGCAAGTTAAGTTAGGGCATCAGTGGGAAAATTAAGGCTATGTTTGAGCCACATTTAAAAAAAAAAAAAAAACATTCTTAAACAGTGATTTGACATCTCTTTAACCACACATTCTTCAATAAAATAATATTACACGCAAATCCAAAACTTTTCTTTATTTTTTAACCACACATTTTGCATCAATACACTATTCAAAAATGCATTCTTAGGAATATAATGTGGCTCAAACAAGGGCTAAAAATAAAATCTAAAATCTTCAGTAAGTAGTAATCCACTCTTAAATCATTGTTTTGTTTTCCTCCACTAACTGAAACTAGACATTTTTCTCTTTCATTGCAT